GCTACAATAGGTAGTAACAATATGGGAAAGAAAAGTGACTCCAAGAAGGCTAATGATAAAGACAAGTTGTTTTGTACCCAATGTCGGCGCTTGAGACATACACGTGAGACATGTTGGGAGATTCACGGAAAGCCCAAGTGGGCAATGAAGAACCAAGAACGGGGTAGAGTACAACGTTAGAAGTTGAATACAACACATAATGCARCACATGTGGCAACCCAAGATACTCAGTCTGTTGGTATTACTCAAGACCACTTTACTGGTTTTGACCCCAAGGAAGATATCATGAATTCCTTCAAAGATCATTTGGAGTCATATGGTAGGGCTTTGCGACAGATGGATAGTTCAGTCACTGGTACTCCTGCTTCATTTGCGTCTACATCAGGTAATGCGACTTCTGCATTCCATGTCACMACTACCACTGACTCCCCTTGGATCATTGACTCAAGGGCCTCTAACCACATGACCGGTAAGCCAAACTTGTTTCAGACTTATAGCCTTTTGTCAGGAAAGGATAAAGTGAGGCTTGCAGATGGATCATGTTAGACAGTGTATGCCCTTAACTCCAATCAGAATGATGTACATTATGACAATTAATGTAAATGAATAAAGTACATATTTGATTCATGTTATTATGGTGTATTTCAGTGTAATACCCTTAAACTAGACACATATGAGACTCGTGTTAGTTTAGAATCTTCACAGTTGTTGGATAGATCTGGGGAGATTTATCCTGCCAAGGCTGACACTGATGTGCCGCCAAGTTGGTTGGGGTAGCTTGTCTCAGCTGCCAGGGTAAGACCTGAGATACATACAGTGTGGGTTTTCTTGAAACCTTGAACCGGACCAAAATTTCAGTATTGCCCTGGACCTTGGAGATAAATGGGCAAAACTGGAATGTTACACCTGACCCCTAGACTCGATTATGATATTGCACTAGGTGTCGGATTGGGCTGCCTTTGATATGCCAATCAGTGAGATCTTTAGAGTGGGTCAAAACCTGGATATGTTGTGACAGTCCGAGAATTCATTTGCATCTACATCAGGTAATGCGGCTTCTGCATTCCATGTCACCACTACCACTGACTCCCCTTGGATCATTGACTCAGGGGCCTCTAACCACATGACCGGAAAGCCAAACTTGTTTCAGATTTATAGCCTTTTGTTAGGAAGGGATAAAGTGAGGCTTGCAGATGGATCATAATAGCATGAATCAAATATGTACTTTATTCATGTTAGATAGTGTATGCCCTTAACTCCAATCAGAATGATGTACATTATGACATTTAATGTAAATGAATAAAGTACATATTTGATTCATGCTATTATGGTGTGTTTCTGTGCAATACCCTTAAACTGGACACATATGAGACTCATGTTAGTTTAGAATCTTCACAGTCGTTGGATAGATATGGGGAGATTTATCCTGCCAATGCTGACACTGATGTGCCGCCAAATTGGTTGGGGTAGCTTGTCTCAGCTGCCAGGGTGAGACCTGAGTTAGATGCAGTGTGGGTTTTCTTGAAACCATGAACCGGACCAGAATTCCAGTATTGCCCTGGACCTTGGAGATAGATGGGCAAAACTGGAATGTTACACCTGACCCCTAGACTCGATTATGATACTGCACTAGGTGTCGGATTGGGTTATCTTTGATATGCCAATCAGTGAGATCCTTAGAGGGGGTCAAAACCTGGGTATGTTGGGACAGTCCAAGAATTCATCTGAGTGGGTGATTAGATTAGGAGGGTTGATCTTTATCTATAGATAAGATAAGGGATTATCCTTATCTATTAAAGAGAGTCCAGATCCAAATACAAGATTTGGATTAGGAAACTCCTAATGGAATTAAGAGATGCTCTCTTTAAGGCTATAAATAGAGGAGCAGGGCAAACCTCCAGTTCATCCTTCAGTCTTACTGATTCAAAAGAGAAGACAGCATACAGTTGGACTGACGCCATCTTCTGCTCTTGCCTTCTCCTGCTATTGCTGCCATTACCAGTTCGATCTCCACCTGTAGGAGCGATCAAGAAGAGCTATTGGTATTATCTTTTAGAGAAAAGATAATCAAAAGTCGTGCTCACCTGCCCTCCATCAAGTTCTTGCTGAAGAATTTGGTTCTTGCTGAAGAACCACCCTACTGATTCTGCTCCACCCTACGCTGTGTCATCTTTAGTGGGAGCAGTTTTTAGTATTCTCCTTGGGCGTGAACACCTTCGTTGGGGGTTACTACTACTCCGTATCAGGTATATACCTCTCATACCTTTTGGTTTCAGATCTGTTCTGCTTTAGGTTCAAGATTGATCCTTGAAAATGCTGTTTTCTAAAATAACGAAT